GACATAAATCACAAAAATTGGGGAAAAGTCATCCCAAACTGTCCATACGCGTATCAGCATGGCCCATACCCGTACTGCCTGCTGTCATATGCGTATGTCCCTCCCTTACGCGTAAGACCAGAGGCTTCTACCTCTCAAACCCCATCAGAGCCGCCCCTTACGCGTATGATTACCTCCATACGCGTAATGCTCAGGCCCCTACGCGTATCATACGCGTATCACCAGATGGTCGTGCTGGCACTGGGGACAGGGCACGTCTGCTACGCGTACAGCCCATTGGGAAGTCCCCCATACGCGCATGGACACCCCCAATACGCGTATGACCAACAGATCTGTCAAAAAACTCAGATCTCATCATTCTCACAAGTTTCTCCTCTAGATTCATCATTCTACCTTCTCCTCCATCCTAATTCTCAGATTTTAGATTGATTCCATTAATCATATCTTCTAATATGTCAAGATTCTAATTATTAGATCTAGTTTCGATTACGGTTAACCCATTAGTTTTCAGATCTATTAACTGTCAGAGTTACCTACAACATCAATGGATTTTTACACGAATTTTCGTATCAGCCCCAAATTCATACACACAACATCACATAATAATCATTCAACAATAACAACAAATTTGGGGGATTCATCATGTTACCAATTTCAGATCAAGAAAACCAAAACAGACATAAATCCTATGAGAGAAAGGACCTCTCACTACCCTCTCATGTTAATTCCCCCATATTGAAATCCATTCTCCCCCTTACCTTGAATTGAAGCTTTTCCTTGACAACAATGGGGATTTGGCCCTTCTTTGCCCTAGCTCTCATTTCTCTGTCTTTTTTCTCTTTCACGTGTTAACTGACTAATTTTCCACTAACCCTCTCTTAACCCCCTTAATTAGATATTAATTCATTTATTTTAATTAGTAATAATAATAATAATAATAATAATAATAATAACCATAATCCTATTTATATTATTATTATTGATAATTGAAATAATAATATTAATAATCATAATGCTCTTAATCTTGTAATTAAATTATCCATTATTCTAGGTCCACATTACCCCCCAACTATGGTCACCTCTCACTCTTACCCTTAACTTCCTACCTTTTATCAAAGACATCACAACCAATACATACACAATAAGGTATAAAATGACTAAATAATTTAAATGAGGTGTTACACTAGGATGTTCCTTGGTTTGGTGTTTACGTTGAGATTTGGGATAATTTTCATGATTGTTTTATGTTGGTAAAACCCCATATTTTAGAAGCTCACTCTGCCTTATTGGAACAAGATTTGTGTATGCCTTTAAAAGGTTTTGCTAATAACAAAGTATTGAAAGAACAACAGGGTTCACTAACCTATGTTCAAGTGTGCAAGATCATAAACTAAAGAATTCATCATTAATCCTGCTGAAAGCATAAATGAAGAAGCTATACTTAGATTCTGGGTGATCAGAATCTGAATATATTCATCAGACTCTGGACTAATGACCCAGATTCTAATGACAACTCAGTTTTTGATAGACGTGGAGAGCAGTTGATCCGTACACTGCACCAAAGCGATTTGTCTTATCTGAGCCCCAGATTTATGGACAGAGTCAACTAGGTTTTGGTTTTGCAAGGCTCAAGGATGGCGATGTGACCTCTTTAGTCTGTACTACCTTTTGGTAGATACCTAGTTACTCAAAAGTTGCTATGGACAATGTTACTATTCAATGGACAAAGCTTTTTCACTAAGTTTGATGTTGTTTAAACCTCCAACGAATCTTTTTCTATCTCTAGAAAGATCTTAGCATAAATTTGAGCTATTTTGCAAGTGTTATAACATAAGATCTTAAGATTTCTCATCTTAGATTTATCTTAGAAATATTAGAAAGGTTGTAAACCTTTGTGATTGTTACACAACTTTTATACTTCTAATTGTGTATCAAAGTATAGTAGTTATTTTATCTAATAAACAATTTGTTTAAAGTAGAATAAGTATCTTTCCTGCGTGCTTGAGGAAGGAAGTCTTAAATCGAGGGTTTAAGTAGGAAGACTTGAACCGGAGGAATAAGCAGGAAGTTTTGAGTAGTGGCTTAAGCAAGAAAGTCTCATTCATAGTTGATTGAGCAGGATGTCTTGAGCAGTGACTTAAGCATTTGTAATTAGTTTGGTTATAGTGAAAAGCTCTTGTTGATTTCATTTACTTTTGAACTTTATTTTTCGATGTTATACATTCTGTTAACAGACTCTGAACGTAGTTTAGACTATGAACTTCTTAGTTCAAAAATAAAACATTTTAAATCACACAATTCAACCTCCCCTTCTTGTATATTTTTCTCACCTTCATGCCTTATGTTAGGTTTCTAATGAACTCCTTCTTCCTGCTAGTTTTTAGGACTTGCCTTAGAGTACATGTACAAATAGGTTTCAAAAGTATTGGGCATGAGTTCACTTTAAATAGGGGCCTCGTAAGTATGTGGTTTTCTTGGATTAAGAGATTAAGATGAAGGAATATTTGAATGCCATCTATGAGGGTATCGACTATGAAGAGGGGTTTAACCTTTCTGAGGTAAAAACATCCATGCAGATGATGCAGTTGTATGATACACATGTTATTGTGGAAGCGACTAATAGTCTGGAAAGAAAAAAGATTTTCGGCGAGTATAGAAAGTCATCCCTTATTGGCTCCCTTTTGTGACATGTTTTACTTTTTTTTCTTGTAGATAAGATGGCTTCCATGAAGAAAATCTTTGAGATGGCTAAAGAACGGGAGGCGAAGGCCGCCATTACAACATCTTCGGCTCGAGCTCTTATTGAATCTAGTGTTCCTGCCACCACTTAGGGTTATGATGGGAAGGCTAATATAGGAGTCAAAGATCTAGTTTCACCGTTCCTAATAGTAATAAAAAGGACCGGAGTCAGTACCACAACCCTCTTCAAGAGGAAAGCTCGGACAAGCGGACTTAACTGTCTGGAGAATCCTTTGTCGGGCTTATTATAGCCAATGTCGAGTCATTTTCTCATCTGCTTAAATTACTGGCTATTCTTCCGTCCCAAATTTATAGTACTTCTCAGGAAGAGCTTATTTTCCATTTCTAAGGAATACCTTGCGTATCTCTAGAATCTCCCTAAAATGAAAAAGGTGGAACTCCATTTTGAGGCGACTCTCTATGCCTACTGGATGACTTCTCTTTTTTCCTTGGCTGATGCTCGTCGATGTGATATTATTGCCATGGGCAACTCCTTCAAGGAAAGGGAAATCTATGGTGGATGAGCATGAGAGATCCCATATCCAAAAGAAAGTGCTTACTCTTCAGGAAGAGGTAGGCAAGCTAAAATATCTTTAGGAGGAAGCAAAAGTTGACGAGTCCCTTTTTTCCCTTGCTGTCAGAAATGCAAACTTCAAACTTCTCCGGAGGCAGAGAAGAAGTCTCGTGAAGAGGTTGCCACTGCTGTGGAGGCAATGACATTGCATCGACAAGGCTATGAAGGCTCTTCATTAGGATGAGGCATCTCAAGAAAAGGAGAAGGAGGCATACGAGGGACAATTGCCCGACTTGAGGAAAAAGGTCGATGAGACACTTGACCAAATGGGGTGCACAATATTTTCAACCAAGTGGACGATCAACTTAAGGTACTTCGTTAGGGTGTTCAGATTCTCCGCTCTCAACTTAACTCACAGAGTATGGTATGTGATGAAACCTTAGTGTATGCTGACGATTCTCAGGCCCAAGGTGGTAATGCATGAATTTGTACTTTTATATAACTTGAATTGTGTGTTATACCTTGATTTTTTCCTGCAATATGTATGAACAACACTATTTTATTTATTTACCTTTTTCTATTCAATATTTTTATGCTCGTTGTACTTTGCCCAAAATTCTTTGTAGATTTCTTGTTATATTGTGAGGTTATTCTCAACTTTGTCTCTTAGTTTAGAATAACAGTCACCACCTAGACCCCATAAATAATCAAGCCAAGTCACCATTTCTCTTGCAATTTTGCTGTGTTCCCTTGAGGCAATGGCTGTTTAAGTAATTCAGAAACACCTGTTTTAGACTCCTTCATAATAAATTGATTAAATGTGTTAGAACTAAACATATAAATTCAACTTTTTTCACTTTTAACTTTTTGGTAAAAATGTTAAATTATTATTGTTGATTCTCATAACTCTAATGACATGCCATGTGATGTTTTACATAGTGATTTGTGGACGTCTCTCACATTAAACTCCTTGAGCCATAAATATCATGCGTTTTTTTTAATGACTATTCAAATTATTTGTAGACTTTTCTAATTTCAAACAAATCTCAAAATTATTCATCTTTTTATGAATGAATAATTTTGACGTGTAGTTAAAACATTCAATGCAACATCATTAATAAGGAGACAACTTCTTTATCCATTGAATAATGTATCTTTTACCAATCAACTAATGTCATATTATTTTATTATATTTAATTATTTAATTTAATAATTTAATTTTTGTAGATTGCCAATCCATTTTACTCTAATTTATTCTATGGGTAGCTTTATCCAAATTTTTGAGGTGGGTAGATCAGAATTCACCTAATAAAAAATATATCTACCATTAACTTCAAATTTTTTGTTAAGTTAAGAACATTCAACGTGTGTATGTGTCCAGCATATGTTGATGTAGTTCACTCCTACAATATTTCTCTAAAAATATTCCGATTGTTTCAACACACTAAATTTAATCCGTTTGAGTTCTCGAAAAATATTGTAAGTGTTGTAAACTCAGTTAAGTCCGGCACATGAAATTTGACGTCTAAGGTTGATTTCATTAGAGAATAATAATCTAGTTACATTAACTGATATAAGATATGTCAACTTTACTATACACAATCATGCACCAACCAACCCATAAGAGTTGTTTTTGGCCTCTCTTTAAAGCTCAATGCAATATATTTAATTTCCACATGACTAAGCAATCATGGATAGAGGGGTTCTGATTTTAGTCCTAAAATTGCTTGCTCCTCTGTCTCTCACCTCAGCTGGCCATCTCTGAGATGCTTTGTAAAGTGGGTTGCCAGAATCTTGTCTTAGCTGTGACTGTAACACTCGCAGCATTATTACTTGATGAACTTGTCCTTCCTCGCGCTCTTTCGTGTTTCGTTTCCTGATATAAACATAATAATTATAAATAAATTGTCGATTTCAGACACAGACACGGATACATACACACATCTTTTTCAGAGATGTAAGAGATCTCTTAAAATATAGTACTAGTTTACATCCTTGTAAACCAAAATCCAATGTTTGTTCTATAATCAAAAACAAAAACTGGTTTGAATTGGAATTACCTTGTTGTCTTTTGTGTCAAACTTGATTGGTTTTTTCTCCTTCACCAAATCTGGCATATGACCTGATTCTGACATGTTCTGTCTCATCTTTGCTTGTTTCTTTTCTCTTATACCCTTCATAACCTCTGAAACCAACAATTATCAATTTCAAAGAGTCAATCTCAAATTAAAAATGATCCATAGCATGCAAATTAAAGGTATATTTAGTTTAGTTGCAACTAACCTTGAGTTGTGATGAGTCTATAAACGCGGCCAAGAAGCAGAGTTTCGTTCGGTTTAAGAAGCTTAATCCGAGTTAATCGAACCGGGTCCATGTTGATTTTGGCACCGTTATTGTTTTCGGGACAATTTTGAATGTCCTTGTTTGGATACATTGTGGTAGAAATAAGAAGCGCTACACAATGACCAGGATTCATTTTCATAACTTGACTCGCACTCATAGATGAATAAAACCTCTCTATTTTTCCACTTGGGTGTTGTATCACTAGCGTTGCAGCATCAATTGCTTGACAATTTCCCATCTTTTCCTTATTCCTATAATGGAACAAACTGCAAAAGGAGATGAAAAATGAGCCAAGAGAATGTTGGAACCACTTTATATATAGCACACACCTCTTCAATCTCACAACCACTCCCTCGGTCACTTCTTTTATAAGCAAAGCATTATATATACACTCCACTTTTTAAAGACTTTAATCTAAGATACATGACATAGACATATCGATCGCAATAATAAAATAAATGTGATCATATATGTCAGATGGTATCAGACAGACACACACATACATGTGTTGGATATTGAACACGTTTTTAATATTAATATAATCTAATTTAAATCTTATTTTCATATATGAAGGGTTGTTTCAAATTTTCGAAGATATTGTGTAAATTTATTATAGTTTGACTCAAGTAAGGATTCTATTTTATTATATTTTAATTCTAACAAATTTTTTATAAAATTAATTTTAACTACGATTTAATCCCGACTATCTGACGACCGACCGTAAATATCAATATGAAATGTGAAACTTATTTTTCACTTTTGACAGTATGTAGAGCATAAAGAAACAGTTGTAAAATGAGAGAAAGTTGCAACAGAAAGACATGGGTAAGGCATGTCAATTATTACCAAATTTGACCAAGACAAAACCAGGAAAAAAAACTAACACGATATAAAAAAGCATGCACACGTGGCAAGCAAGGATTGGACGAATGAGAAAGTGAGGGAACAAAAGTGGGACCATGGTAGATGAAATGATGTGATATGCACCTCAAAAACGTTACATTCCCTTAAGTTTTGGTCCACCATGTTTTTGATTAAATGATCGACCCATATGTTTTGAATTCACTCAGTAATCAAATATATCCATGCATATGCATAATGCATGTGATCACCTCATTTTCCTAACATCTGTTTCTGGTCGGTTTTGTTACAAAGTTATTATCATGTTTAATTTGCATGTTACTACCATAAGATATAATTCAATTTAATTTAATAGATGCATTTGTGTTAGTTTTCAAAAGATTCCAACATGGATGAGTAAAATAATGGCAGTATCAATTGGTTAATGCTTTTGCTGGCATGAACTTGGGAACAAAGATGGTGCATCAGTGGTCAAATAGCTATGATTTGTATCTCATGTTTTTCAACCACAACCACTATTGCTAATGATTATCACTGAATTTTGGATTGCTTGAGGACTTAGAATTTCATCACTACTATTTAGACTTTTGAGATTTTTTTTTTAATTCTTTTTAATTTTTTAATGTTTTTATATTATCATGCTTCAAATTTGATTCAAACATGTAACTAGAAAGAGCGTGGGAGTACAAACAATATAAATATGAATTTTGTATTCAAATTTGACCTAACGTATATTGGTTTTTGTTTTTAGAGGTACTTACCCAATATTCCTAAATTCCTTGAATATGAAACCAATCTTGTTAATGAGATATTTTTTAAGATGTACCTTTGATACGCATGTGTCCAATAATTTGGTAAGGAGAATTTAAGAATCAAGTTAGCATATTAACGATAAAGGAAATGTCTAGATAAATTATTTTTAGTGTCTGGAAATAATTTCTAAAATATCAATGCAACCCTCTTTTTAATAATAGATCCTTATTGAGCGAAACAAGCTAAATGATATGTTTTGTGTTTTTAAAACAGAAGAAATTTCAATTACTCTAATTAATATAAATATTATTTTGACGTGGCTGAATTTTAGAAGAAAAAGTCAATATAAGTTTTTCAAGTCTACATTTCATATATTTGAACTGTCACAATATAAATAGACGTGAGTACATATTTTGAGACTCACGAATTATCTATCTAGAATACAAACATATCACTTTCAAAAGTTGTGTGGGATGATGTTCACTATATGATGTGAAACAAATATCATCCACCAAATGTTGTCAAGAGCAAATTTGTACAACTCAATCTCCGAATTTCTTCTGAGTGGAATAATCGAGCACGCACATGACATCTCTTTAATATAGTCGAAAAACATACTCCCACCTGACAAAACCTGGAAAATGATAGAGGATCTATGCCTGAAAAATGATTCAGATGAAAATTAGTAAGGGTTTAATAAAAATATTATGAAATTAATAATTGACATGTAACTAAATTACCTAAAATAGAGTTGCTTGAATAATGATAAATTGGACGTAATCAATATGTTTTGGATGAAAATAATAAACAGTAAAGAGAATAAATGACATTAAAGTAAATGCTTCAAATACAAAAGATTTGCAGAAAGTTTAAAGAGATGACACATACTCACATTTCTCACAAATTATTTCTCTCTATGACTTGGATACTTTAGTTCTAAAAAGAATTAGTGAAAAATTGTGACCTCTAACTCATCATTGAGCGTATCTTATATACTAATACAAGAATAACCACTGACAACAGATAGATCATAATGATCTGACATGTTTCCCACTACTTAAGCAATTTTGCTCTAACTTGCTTCCACGCGTCTTCAAGGACAAAACTGCTAAAAACCAACCTTTACGTTGATAACTGCCTTTGAACTCCTTAACTGCCTCTGTCGAGAGCCCTTGATCCATCCCTATGAGGTTGAGATATCTTCATATCACATAGTCTTTTGACATAAGTCCCCAACACCTGGTAGATGTGTCGACTTCGACACTGGTCGAAGGTCTAACTTGTCAAACCCCTTTTCAAGATTCTTAACATGTTTGGAAGAGAGTGATATTAATCTTGTGGATTTATTCCTAAAACTCATTCAAACCATTATTCGCCTTAACTCATCTGACAAGTTAGTCAAACTACTAAGTCGACATAGTTAATATATCGAAGCTTTTGGTTAAAGTTCTTGACATTTAGCATTTTCACCGTATCTATTACAATTCTTTGTTGACTTTTTGATCATATATATCAGATGGAAGTAAAGTGACATTTTTGTAATTGCTCGACACTGTTTAGATTAGCTTGCGCACATCACATTAATTGTACATTTTTAGTCATCATGACTACTTTCCACCAAAATGTCATGTCATAAACGTGCGTGCAGATTGTCATCATTAACTATGTTTCCCTAAGAGAATCATGGACCATGGAATTAAATGACATTTAAAATAAATCCTTTAATTTCATTTTTCTCAAAAATAAATGCTACATGTCCACCTCACGATCGTACTTGTAAAAGATTTCTTTAGATGGGAACAATTTTTTTCCTTTTCGTGGCTATTTATATGTCCCTCCAACATTCTCGTTTCTTTTCCACCATTTTGCTTCATGAACCCTAGAAAAAGATTTATGCAATTTCCATCTTTCAACATTTACAACTTCTTTTCTATGAGCTTTTAAAGGTTAACAATGACTTCTGGATATATTATCAGGCATGCTCCAAGCATCCCTTCTGTTGCTGATATTATAGGGCCTATACTCGTAAATAACCATACCCACGTCCCAAAGCCCCATATGGAATAAGAGAAAAGGAAAATATAGTATGCTCAGGTACTAATTCCCTATTCCATTTCAGCTAGAGTTTGTGCTTTTATGGGTCCCCTTCCTTGGCACATTAGAAAGCCTTAGGTTTTAGAATATTTCTTCCCAAGATATCCCTCATGAGAACCTCTAATATTTGTACATAAACCCATTTATTTATGCTTCATAAATAACCATGTTTTTCAGTCATCTCTCCCTACTAACAACCCTTCATACATCTGGTGATTGGATAGGGTCCAAGAAAATAAGGGATAAGTATGGGAAGATCGGGGCATTTTTGACCTGATCCAATTCTGAAGAGTTGGCCCAAGGTAAAACTCTTATATGCTTGTTGCTACCATGTGATTTTAGGAATCCACAAATAATACATTTCACTTACCACATGGAATGATAACCCTGACACTCTTCTACATAGCAACAGTTGTTGGTATTCGACCAACTAGGGAACTTTTTGAACCTTCTAGGATCATCAATACCAAACCTCAATTCGTCTTTACTCACCCTGTTTATAACATATTCCTTGAAGCACATTATGCCTCGATGGAGAATATAAGTGACCAGGAGCACATAGAGTTCTTCACCTATTGGCTCTCTTGTTATCTATTTTGCTCCAACTCCCTTCAAGTGGAAAAACTATTTGTACCCCTGGTCACTTAGCTCCAAGAAAGGAGGAATGTTTGTCTCATAAAACTAATCATGTGTGGACTTTTTGAAAGCTATTGCCACCTTTGAGCCCTTCTTAAAAGCTAACATTCCACCTAATCTAAAAGGAACCGTCAAAGGTATGAAGCTGGCCCAAATTACTCTAGATGATGGCAAAGTTGCATCAAAAGGAAGTTTTTGAGACATGTTTTGATATTTTACACTTGTAAAATATTTATCTCGACCATGGCACCTTTCGCAAGTAGAAATTATGGACCTAACCGGTCAAGAAACCATTACCAGCCTCTTCACCTAGAGTGGAAAAAAAGATTCATGAAATTTTACTAGAGTTTTTCCATCCTACCCCTCTGTCGACCAAGCTTTATTCTTCAAAATCAGGCATAAGGGAGACAACCTATCAGTCAAACTTAGTAGCTATGCAATTTGGTCTTAGCCAATCCTGACCTAAATCCCTAATATCAAAAGAAGAGGTTGTCTTCATCGTCAATGACAAACCAAATGAAGAATGGCTTGATAAATGTATAAACTTCTTCAAGAAAAGGGTGTATTCCTCAACCCTATCAAATTATTGCCTTCTTTTCACTACTCGCAAGAATTAGAAGAAGGGTGGTCCGCCTACTATCAAGGCGTGCAAGATCCCTTTCTCATAGCCCAACACATGACTGACACATTTCGTTTCTGCATAACACAAAGAAGAAAAACAAAGGTACGCACATCAAATAAATTCAAGTCTTTCAAAGATACTTTGAAACTGTATATAATCCATATGATATTCGTCGAACCGTTTATGAAATTGTTGTTACTTTAAAACATAAAATTATTGAAAAACTTCCAAGTTTGAAAATTCCTACCTGTGTAGAAGACATGTATACTTTT